AGGGCTTCAGACATCACAGGGCTGATCAAATTTTACTCCATGTACTCGTAAGTTGGTGAGCTATACGCTGAATAATGTGATTTGTTTGTTGAAATGGGCTACCTGACACCAGTGAACTCACTGCTTCAAGCATTTGGAGATTGAAGTCGCTCAGAATGACTTGATTCTAAGTTGTTCCTTTCTCTCTGCTTCTGCCTTTCGGTTTCCACCGCAACATTTTTCTTCTTAGATGAAGTCTGCCGTGGGTTCAGCAGCTAGAACTTCATGTTCTGAAGAGAAAAATTTGCTTTATATTTGTGATATCAAATACAAAATTACAACCAATCAATTAAGACTCTAATATTTTAATTTGAAATTATATATAAAGACTTGGCAATAATTCTCGTAAAAATTTAATTGGTTTAATGTAAATCTGTAATTTACTACAAAAGTGCAACATTTTACTAAGCTTTGGTAGTTTTAGTAGTTGTAATAGAGAAAGAAGACATTATGCTCTTTTTTTTATTATTATTATTTCCTAAAAACTCAAGATTATAAAAAAAAAAAAAAAAAAAGTCTCTCCTGTAATGTCTGGCATACATGACTGTGTTTGCATGTGAAATGCGTATGCGTGTGCATTGTTTCCACTTCATTGTGGCTAGGAAATGTCTCCAGGGCTTGCCCACCTAGACCCCTGTAACAGCTGCTGTAAACCCTGTACTGTGATAGTCAAGTGTGTCTCCCCCCTTCTAGGAAAAACCTTTCCTGAAAAGCCTCTATAAACAGAGCAAAAACAATATCCAATTTTAGTAATTTTACTGAATTCAAAATCCTATGTTGATTTTTTTTTCATTATCTGTGATGTGTTTATTGTAGAGCACTGACACTAAAACAATATTTTTGTTGTTTATGTTAGGAAATATGTAGTGTAGTTTAAGTATTTAGTTCCTGTGATGCAGAAGCAGAGTTTATACAATTGAAAAAACACAGAAACACAGCTAATTTACAAATTGGCCTCTTGCAGTGGGTCGTTAAAATAACTACCATGTTATCTGGATAAAAAAAAAAAACTATTTACATTGTAAATCTGACAGACTAGTACAAATGCATTAGGAAACAAAACAATACTGGAGTGTTTGTAGGTCCCTGTGGACACTGTTGGATTAATTCTCATTTTGGTCTGGATGAAGAAATGTAGGTCTGTAATGAAATGAGAGTGCAATTTGAAAAGTTGTTTCTCTGTTTGTTGGGATAGGGGTTAAATCAAGATTTGGTTGAAATTTACAAGGTGTCTTTTTTCTTTCTCCCGTTTTTGATTTCTAGAGAATGCAGCATGATTCTTGCTCCTTTTCATTGAGGTGAAACTCAAAATATAGTTAAACACTGTATGTAGACTTTCTGGTGTCATGGCTCATTTTAAGACGGATACCTGTATATTTCATGATGATATACTGACTATTTAATTTTGTAGTTTTTCTTTTTCATATTTTTCTCTCTGAATTGTTTGCACAGTTAAAGAGATTTTTTTATTAAAAGAAGTTACTCCGCTATTGTCAACAATTTAAAGTCCAATGAAAATAAACAAAAGGGCAATTCTGCTTCTTTTAAGATGGTCAGTTCTCTTGAGCATTTAAGAGAAAGGGCCAGATTTAGAGCACATGGTTTCTCTTTCATATCAGAGCTTGTGTCCTGTTCCATTCCTCATACCTTTCTTCTGACATGCATTCTTTTAAAGATAATGCCAACATATTCAAACCAAAGCAAAAATTATTTCTCGTGACAGTTTCCCTTCAGAACATTAAGTGTTGTAGCTCCCCCGAGGAAGCTTTATCTGCATTACGTTTGACTGGCCAGCTTGTTTCTGTGTATTCCAGCTATAAACACAAGCAATTATGAGCTTACGCCTTGTATTTCCGCCCCCCTGCACAAACTTCACCTGGCTGTTTTACATTCCACCAGGAGCACTACCATAACAAGTCATTCATTTTTGTGTGAAATGTAGTACACGTCCAATCGCTCTGTAATCCGAGACCACTTCAACACTGCCCAGCTCAACCTTGACGCACTTCTCACAGGTCTTCATCTCCCCTGAGAAAAGTCTCCACAAGCGCATTCACAGATTTGGGTCATATGATTACAGCAGGTTTGAAGTTCACCTGCAGTGTTGGGAAGGTTACATTGGAAATGTAATAGGTTACAGATTACAAGTTACCCTATTTAAAATGTAATAGTAGTGTAACTTTTTCAATTACTTTATTAAAGTAATGTAACTGATTACTTTTGATTACTTTTTGATTACTTTTCAAAATTTCTAATGAATGTTTATTTGCAACTGTTAATCATTTTCAAACATTTACACCATGCAGGGCTAACCTTACAGTAGTGCTCAACACTCTCAGACTTTCAAAATCCTTCATCACTTGAATTAAGATGAACAAATTTGAACACATCCACCACAAAATCAGACTTTAGTACCGCCTTTTACTTTGAGATTGATCTGAAGTTCAATGCAGATTTAAAATCATAAGAAATAGTTAAGATAAGAAATAGTTAATAGATAAGAAATCTTTGCATAACTACAGGAAACACTGCATCTAACAATGCTTTGGA